GACAATCAACTGTTGTTTCTTTTTATTACAAATAACAAACATTGGGTTCCTTTAGACTCCGTTTACTCCTAGTTTACTCCAAACTGCTAGTAACATGAGAGGAAAATGAATGAATCGTTTTACTGTTATTAAAAATGACCCCTATATCTGTGGAGCAAAATAAGGAGGTGCCAACAATTAACCAATTCAAGTATTAGAAGACTGGATATAGAAACTCTTATAGACTTTAGATCGTAGTTAATAGACTATAATTTTAAATATTATACTTTATTATTTTTCGTTGTGGCCCCAATTGGCTTGTAAGCTAGATATTTTTAACATCTTAATAAACATTCATAAAAATTTTGATCGATTGATTGACTGGTTTCCTTGCGTTTGACCAATCGGCGACCGCTAGCCTCTTACCTAGCTGTAGAGTCCAACAGAAAAGATGCGTCTAGAGAAGTCGTGACTTTTTTCTTGGCGTCCAACAGATTCCAAAGTCCTATAAGATGTACACAAGAAAAAATTTAGACCCCGTTTACACTGTGCCGGATAAATTTTATCCGCATCAAAATTAGTTCAGATAGGTGTCGCGTTTACACTAGACCAACGCTATCCGCACGAATTTGAGAGCGGCTATCCGAACAAAATTAGTTCACCTAAGAAAGTAGATTAAATTAGTTCGGATAGCTATGTGGTACAGTCTAAACGCTTTTATCCGGATAAATTTTTTCCACATCGTATCTTGCACGAAAGTGATTGGCTATTTCTTCCAATTTAGTTTTCACTGTCTCCCAATCAAGACCTTTCGCCATTTTGTTATTATTTGTACATTATTTTTTCTCTCTTTAAGGGAAACCAGCATAAAGCGTTTGAAGCTTTTTAAAATCTAGAAATTTTATTTTCAATTAACTCTAGTCGCATTTTCCCTAAAAAATGTTTGCAAAATCCAATTTTTTTACGCTTTTGTTCACACCTAATGAAAGCTTAAATGTTCATAGACCTCCCAAGCTTGAGGGGTAAACTATGCCTAGTTTTGGATTGGGATGTGCCATTTAGGTTAACATTTTGGAACCATAATTCCGCAAATGTCTGAAAAAATGTGAACCATAACTTTGAAAACATGATGAAAACTATACCCATTTCTCTGCAGAGCAAATAAAATTTTTAAAGCCTATGAAAAATCATCAACCAAATTTTGCATGTCCTATACCCCAAAATCTCATTATTACACATATCTCATACCTTTATTTCTAACTGGATATTCTTTTTGTTAATGCTAAATCTCCCTTCTAATAAATTTGCAATATTTCCACAAAATTGTACCCATAATTCTGCATGTTTCTCCAAATGGTACGCATAGTCCCGCACAAATTTAAAAAATTAGTACCGATAATTATGCACTTTTCAGAAAAAAGGTACCCCTAAATAATGGCACGTCCCCGTACCTTCAAACATGTTAAGGCATCTCCCCCGACCATCCAAGAGTAGGTACCGGTTTTATAAAGACCAAATTCACTTATAAAGAGCTAATTGTCGGAAGCCAAATGGAACAGAAGCGAAATGCATCTTTCAAATGTCTGAATTACCATAATTGGAATAATATCCATTTAACATCTAAGGGGAAAATTATGGCATAAGTTGTCTACAGAAAAAAAAGTCATCAAATCTTGCCCAGGTTAAAACTTAGATAAAAATTGGAAAGGAGAAGAATGTTGTTGTGAATTGTGTAGAAGCTACATAGCACAGGTTGAGTTCTTTGTCTAGAAAATTAAGAAAAAATTCGTTTCGGTGTAAAAATATTTAAACATCGTTTAACTATAAACTCATTGTATAATTTCAAAAGTTTTTTAGTCTTCAATGTCATTTCTTTCATCAATTAACTACTTATTTTTTACTTTTCATCAATTAACTACTTGTAACTATAAATTATTCATTCTTGATTTTTAATTATATTTTTGTAAAGTAGGCATAAGTTAGCTTGTACATAAACTGTACATGGATAACTATATTATACCCGCTTACTGTAAATAAATTAATTATCATTATCATTATTGTGATTATTAGTAATATTCTGTTTTAAGTTACACTAAATTCATCACAAGTAACCAGTACCATAAACGTGCTCTCTTTGTTTATCCTTCTATAAGAGCCTCTCTCTCTCTCTCTGATATGCTACGTAAACTCATATTTGACTCAAGTCAAACTAAATCCATTTTGATGAAATTCATGAGCATTTGCCTTAGTCCCCTACTATTCAATCTATGTTTCAATACTTTCATACAGTACATAAAAGCCGAAGAATACAAACAGTTAGGTTTTTCCCTACATGATCAGATGACCGTATGTTTTAACCAGTCCATTGGTTTCAATTCGCAGACGCTGCTGCCGTTATCACCAGCAATGAGAAAGAAAACAAACCTCTACTAAAGTGTTTCACTCGCTGGTGCCAATGGGCTAACATGATCATACGTGTCTATAAATGCATCATTTTTGGAATTTTCCACAAGTTCTCTTCAGTACCAACCTAAGCTTTAAATAAACAACAAATCCATCCCATCTTTCTCGAATGGAAACTCTTTCAAATACCTCGGTCGTCATTTTGACTTTGAAATGACAAACCAAGAACATAAATCTGACCTTTACCATCACTGGTCAACATGCTTAAACAATTCAGTTCCCAGCCTCTTCATGCAAAAAATCAGCTGCGTCTTTATCACAACTTTGTTCTTTCTAAAGTCTCCTGGAACCTCACTGTAGCAGATCTTTCAAAGACGTGGAATGTCGAGAATATTGACAACCTCGTATCCAAATACATCCGCCAGTGGCTCGACCTCCCAATAAGTGCTACCTAGAGTAGCATTATTCTTTCTAAAAACAGTTTGGACTCAGCCTAACTTTACCATCCACCAAATTCTTACAATGTCGAACAGTTTTACGCAACGCATTAGCACGAGAAAATACCAGCAGTAGCACAAATATACAATATGATATGTGTAGGAATACCAAAGAAGCATTTAAGGCTGTCCAGCATGAGCATAAATATCGTCTGCAAAACATTCTAACCTCCCAAGGATCTTTATTATCACTACTCTTTAACCAGAATCTTCCACAAATAAACAAAAAACGTCCAAGGATATTTTCAATTTCACCATAAGGTACCTGAACAATACCCACATGGAAAAACCTGAAAAAATAGAACTTTAGCCAGACCTCTGACTGTTCTTTCTGTTTTCTACCAGAAACCCTTGTTCACATTGTTGCTGGCTGCAAAACGTATCTGGAAAAAGGCCGATACACCTGGCGACATAACACTATCCTAAACTTTCTAGCCACGTCACTAAAAGCTGTCAATGAATCTACCATCTATGCTGATATACCTGGCTTTCTTTCACCATCAATCAAAACTGGAGAAAACCTTCGCGCTGATCTTCAATTACCTCTACATTTTAGAGCTAACTGTTGGCTTTGACTCCAATCTTGACACAAATGCAACAAGAAAACACAACAAGTATGCTCCTCTCTTATCTGGTTTACAGCGGCAGTTCAAATGTGTCTTCTTTGTTAAACTTTCTATGAACTCTCTTGGCATTTTCGGCAATTCCTGCAATTCATTCTTCAAAATGTGTGACTCTCTCTCCATCGATTAGCAAAAAAAACGGTATCTCATTTCGAAACCTTCCAACATTGCCATCCGTTCTACGTACTATATATATTTTTGCAAAAATAAACCCAGGAACAAATCCAGAATTAAAACCTCTTTAACTTTGGTTGTTTTATTTTTTTCTCAGTATTTCCTTTTACCTTACGATTGTTATAGTTTTTTATTGTAAAACCTGGCTAGCCATTTGCAAATAACCTTGTAATAGTGAAATTTGTAATGTGTCCACTATTATCCATTCAATTTGCTATTTTATGATCAAACACCGAGTCATTACCAGTGACCTAAGTTGAGTGAAATTGAAGTAAGTTAAGAGCATTGTTACACTGTACATGTATGTAAATATACTGTATAGTGTAACAATTATTACACTGTACATGTATTTCCTGAAGAGTAAGTTACTCACGAAACAGGCTTGTAGAGATAAATCATGTAGTCTTATTTTCTTCAACTCTATGATATGTCACGCTCTACGTGCTAACGTATTGAGCACTGTGCTACGGAAGTATCAAAAGACAAATTTATGTATGTAAATATATATATTTATATATATTAAAAAAACCATTAAAAGAACTGTTGAAGTAGAAAGCACTCTTCTCAATATGTGTGCAGTGGTATTCAGGACTATTTTAGGGCCTCGTTAAGGGATTGATCACCCAGAATTCGCCAAACGTAATTAGCAGTTCCTTTCTTAATCATTCCTAAGGCACCTGCAATTACTGTCAAAAGTCTTGGAACACTAACGTCAGTTTTCCAAGGCAAATTCAGCCACCCCCCTTTCCCCCTAAGAACAATGTAGATATACTATAGAAAAAAGAAAGGTTGTGGAGTACGCTTTTTCGTGTGCCTTGTATGATATTTTCCTATACTTTCAACATTGTTTTTGGCGGGGAAAGGGGGACGGAAGTAGTTGCACTCGGGAAAACAAATGAAAAATAGAAAAGCACAGCGCAAACACGACTTTTTCATTATATCTCTACTCGTGTGAATACAACGATTGATACCTATAATAAAATGACGCTACCACCTCAAGACTGGTTGTGGATTATGATTGCCATTTTTAAAGTTTGCAATTATGAACCACAAAGCAAGGTAAAGAACGAACAGCTATCCTGCTCCGTGTAAACTTCCAAATATCTTTTTTTAAGTTGACAGTTGAAAACATATGACGTCTGCACGATTGTATAAACATCAGTCTGTATTTCTCTCTCGTGTTTCAAAAGAAATTTCGAGAACTTGCAGAAAACCATTTAAATCGTCATTTTTTATGAAATTTATTTACGAAATTTCCATCACAATGATATAGATAGTGTTTAGCAAAGATTTTTCTACTAAACGTATCTCAATTTTGTTTTAGCTGCCGGCATCTCTTTCCCTGATCTTCGTGGTGGAGTGCTTCTAAGTGCTTTTCCTGGGATGTCTCCAATATCTTCAAGCTGGGGAAACTGCGGTAAGTATAGTTCACTTTTAGTCGCTTTTTATAGAAAGGCGGGTATATGTAATTCATGCTTTTAGAATCAGAATCCATAGAAAGGTTCAACTTTTTTTACTGTAAGTGAATTTCTGAAACCATTTTTGCAACGGATAAGACCCTTTGACTCTGGGAAAACTACGGATCGCCTTTGGTACCGATAGTTGTTGAAATTTTTCTAAAAAGTCTCAACAAGGTTGTGCAACAGCAAAATATTCGTGAGTCATTGAGGACATCTTTTTTCTCACTGATCAACATAAGTTGCTAAGAGAATAAGTTCTCTGCGTTGTAAATAGAAATTTAATAATCTTTAAGCAACTTGTTTTGAGATTATCGCGGGCGCCTTTGGAGCACGGGTCCGGAATGTCCAAGAAGACAGGATCAGTATAAGGCTATTTTTATAATGTAACGGAACATCCGTTATAAAATAAAAATTTATTGTTGAACGTGTCTCTTCTATTTCAACTTTAATTTCTTTGTTAAATTCTGCATTCAAAACATCTATGGTTACCAAAATAAAAATCAAATCACGAGCATGATTTCCTCGATTTGTTTTTGCATATTTCTTGACAAAGCGAGACACATTTCTGTGGACGCGAGTTCATTTGCAAACAAGGGTTTCAGACAAAAGGCTCTCAGACTAGGGCTTTTTTGTCGACTATGAGACAATTTTTGTAAATATGTTATGAATATGTATTATAAATATGTATTTCTTGCCAATTCATGTTCACGTATCGTATCTTATCGCTTTCGCTTTCTGTTTCACAGATTAAAGTGTGCATACTTAGTAATCCTCCTATTGTTAATTGGCTTTACAATTCACTAAAGTAGAACAACTTCATCTTCAGTGACGTCGGAACGAAACTCATAATAGAACATTTCTTTCTGACATATTTTTAATTTGGCAGGTAACAGTTACCTACTATTTCATATATAATGTTAGCCATTCCTATTAGTGCTCAATTCCTTAAAGAGTAGTTTAGATCTTTAAAGGATAATCGCACTACATCATTTTTCGTCAAGTTCTGCGCTACATCATTTTTCGTGAAAAAATATTTTCATTTTTTCACGAGATCTCGTGTTTTAAACCAAGTATATTTGCAAACATAGTCGCTGTGCGAGGACGTGTCTGCCGTAGCTATCGCATCAATATAAAGTTAAAAATACTTGAAGCAATTGCAGAAATTCGAAACCAAAAGAAAAGGCCATGTGGTGATGAAATTTTTGATGTGGTCACTAAAGCTCCGTTAAAACGCTCTCAAAATTTCACTGAACATCGCTCAACATTTGTAGAGTGCAAATGTTGAGAGCGTTTTAACACCCTGTTCAGTGATGTTGAGTGGTGTTGAGCGGTGTTCAGCGATGTTGAGTGGAGTTTGAACAGATTCAAAAATGTCCAGCGGGTCGACTCAACATTTCTATTGTTGAACGTGTTGTTGAGAGATGTTGAGAGCGTTTTAACACCCCCATACAACAATGTTCAGTCGGCGCCAGCGCACTAGACTTGAATTTTGCGCGCCAAGAAAGGCTTCAGCGCGCAAGATTTCAGATCAGACCAAGAGGTTGAGAGAAGTTGAATTTTATAAATCGTAATGGCACACCATGACAAACGCTTGGAAACAGTTGGCAGTGAAAGCAAATCGGATGAGATAGCAATTCAAAGCATGTTGCAAGACCAATATCCAGACCTTAGGAAATCATCAGGCAGCTACTGTTAAAGTGAAAGAGTATCCGAAGTTCATCTTCCAAACTTGTCTTGGAACTCTGAGAGTCCGAAGTTCACAGCTCAACGAATGTTGCGTTGAATTGTTGAGAGCGTTTTAAGACACCCCAATTCAACATCACTAAACGAGTCTATTTTGGAGGGACTGGCTATGGAAGGGAAAAACACTAGCAAAGATTTTGTGGATTTCAAAAAGTCTCTGGACATTAAAATGGCCATTATGAAAGAAGAAGTGGGAAATATGAGCCACAACAAGCCACAACAATATATAGGCCACAACAAGCTAAGGAAAAACAAAATAATTCTGGTGCAAATTTGAGAGATGAGTTCATCCACAATTCTTTATTTCCTGCTTTCTCATATCGATCCTGAAAGGTTAATTTCGGAGCATCAACGACAAATTAAATTTTTGAGGAATAAAATTCTCAGTTGAAATAAAATTACAAAAATTTCCCTTCAAAATCAAACTCAAAATCAAATGAAGGATGACGTTTCCAAAAGCGCTAAAGAAAACGATGTACGATGGCAAGTAATTTCCTCGAAAGATTGAGAGCCAGAGGCGCCGGAAGCACGGGGACAGCGGGAGCAGCACTATGCCCTTGCAAAAATGCCCTTGTGTATTTATGCAAATGGAATAAATATATATCATCTCAAGTTCTTGGGTGAGAGAAAACAATAGTGCCGTTAGGAGCAAAAAGAATATTGGATGCATTTGCATTAACTTACCTGCAGTAATGCTCTTTGTTTCTGTAGAATAAGCTCAGTGAGTAACAGAGGAATATGGGGCCCTAAGAAAGCTGAGATAGGGCCCCCTATTAACGGAGCGCAAGAAAGTTCAATCCAATGTTGTAGTGGAGCATGTCAAACTCTAATGCAATACGAATAACTGATAATTTTGTAAGCTAACTAGTAGATGCTTCAACTGAAATAATTTTAAAGCTTTTAATAATGGGGAAAACTTTGAAGAACAAAAATGAGAAGATCAGAATACATGATAAAGAAGTTGCCATACCAAGAAAGAAATTTACAAAGACGAAAAGTACAATTAAATAAGCTTTATTTTGGACGGGGACGTGCCATTTTGGTTTCAAATATCTGGGCACATTTTTCCGCACATGTCTGAAAAATGTGATCCATAATTCCGCAAACATGACTAAAACTATACCCATATTTTCTCAAAGCAAATCATTTTCTTAAAACACAAAAAAAATCATCAAATAAATTTTGCACTTTCTTTGCCAAAAAATCTTAATGTAACACATTGATAATCTCACGTCACTAAGGAAACATTTTCGAATCTGACAAGCTTTGTGAGGTTTTCGTTAGCACGGACAACTACAGTGTTATGAGTTATATAACATCACGCTGGCATTCGTGACATTTGGTAGATGGTAGTCTACAAGCTTTTACATTTCTATTCTGTTGTGACTCAGATTGCTTATTAATGTTGGAATGAATGAGGAAAACTCTTTGAATTTAGGCTGGCGCTTGCTCCACTTGCTTCTGTCTCGATTTAGTTTCAGTTATAAATCAGCATCAAAGAAATTTTATTTTGGCTCTAACATCGTACAAGTTACAGAAGACACTAGTTTGTCGAAGACGCAAAACTTTTGGAGTATTTTGGAGCTTACGTCAGCCCGAAGCATCCCCTTTTAAGAGCAATCTGATTTAGAGTTAAAACAAGCTTGAGGATTGAACGGAACTCATTTTGGGTCATATCAAACATTGTGCCAAAATTATTAATTTTATTCCAGAAAAACAGGCGATTGTTTTGTTTCACCTTTTCTTGAATGTTGAGTACACAAGCACAGAATAGTAAGTCCAACAGACATGATGGCATCTATTTCCCGTTTTATGCTGGTTAATCCTTGATTTTCATAAAGAAGTGCTGCTTCGGTGCTCTATGACGGAAACTTTGAGAGATTTCTGAAAATTGGGTTGTCTGGTGAAAAACACATTTAAACCGTTCGCACTGTACCTACAGATTCCTAAAAATTTAATCTAATACCGCCTTTGAAGATAAAACAATAGGAATTAACTTTGTAAGTTATCACTATCAATCTGACACTGAAATAAAGTTATCACTATTATTCAGCTCAGTTCAGTTTTATGTTTTAAAATCCCTCTACATACAGTATCTTCCTCGATCTTGTAGGTCTAGAAACACTGTTAAAACAAGTGATTCTGCCATCGGTCAACATTTTTTAGACAACCCAGATTGTGCAAAACTCTATAATGACGACATGTTTCGAATAATTGGCAGAGCCCGGTCGTCCTTCCATCTAGCAGTTTTGGAGTCAATCCAAAACTCATTAGCCCCTAAGCCTACTTTGAACTGAAACTGTTTGCCATTTACACAATCAAGAGCTTTCAAAAATTTACAAGAATTATGGCTTTCAACTGTATCACGTTCATTTTCGCCCAGTACATTGTCATCTTCAGATAATAAAAGGGCAAGGTTTCACCCAAAATTTGTTGTAGTTTCTTGCTTCTGCATGCTCGTCTCCAACATCCTACTTTCCACAGCTATGAAATTTTGAGTTGTGTGCGGGACATACATTTTTCTGATGATGAGGGCCTGACAAAATCTCCAATTTTTTGAAAGGATGGTTTTTTGGCATTTCTCATTCTTGTACCTTGAGTCCATTTTTGCACCTATACTTCTGCATTGGTTTCTTTGCTGTGAAATTTTCAATGCCTCCACAATTGGATATGCTAAACCTCTCCTGCCTTATCAGAAAACGTATAGAAATTCTGTTTCAAAGATCATTAATAGCTTTTGAAATTTTTATCTCGCTCTCCAGTTGCAATCTTTCTGAAAGGTTTTAACACGAATCCCAAAATAAAACTTTCACGGGTAAATTTGTCATGTCTCTTTTTTGCACTTTTGTACATCTTTTTATTGGTTTCATCAACGATTGTGTATATCAATTAGTTGACTTGATCCTGTTCATCTCGATTGTAGAGTTCGGAGGTTATTCTTAAACGCTTGTAATGTCGAATCCAATTACACTATTCTTATGGCTTGAAATGGCATGCAGGCCACACCAATATAGCGCTCCTAAGGTGCTGACCGTACTTTAAAGGGAAATGAAGTGAAAAACGATTTTTTGTTTAATTATTAAGTTTCCCGTGCTGATTCTCAAACAGTTTGACTTTTTTTGCTTTTAAGTTGTGTAGCTTTAAAATTGTTAAGTTTTTAAAATCGAAATTTGCCCTCATCAATGGCGGAGCGAGTACGTCGTCAGACCACTGT